ATACTTTGTGGATGACACTTTTTATTACATTATTATGCGACGTTTCTGTATATATTCTTATAGCACTCTTGCTTGACAACTGTATAAGGATCTATACCGAAGGTGAAACTCTATTCTAACGCAGGCAAATATATAAATCGCGAAAATGTGTATATGTGAGAGTAACGGGCACTGGCATACGAGCAAAAAATCACTTGAAAATATATCTGACTAAATCGGCGAAACAATCACAGAGTACAAAATTTCTGATACGGTCTTGAGGAAGTCCCGAATGAATGGTTTTCTGTGTACAGAGATGGCGAATATGGTTGTCCAGGTGAATTGACACGAATATACGATGCGAGAACATAAGCATGCTGGTCACCATTGTAATTGGAAAGATCATCGAGGCATAAACTTGAACGTTGCTGAACTGGCTTAAGACAACGTTCATTCCCTCACTCACTCTGTGTTGTAGTTCTCGACCAAGCTGAAATTCGCAGTCTGGTTGGCGCTGTGGTGAATAGGTTTGGCAGTGACGCTAAGGAGCAAAGTGTGAACAGGAATGCAAAGTCCTCTTCACCAACGACATCCTCGATCTCGGCTGCGACTTCGCGTGTAAAGGGTAAGTCCGTGTATGGAAGGACGATGAATACATCGCTACTCCGCTACAAATAATATGCTTAGCATTCTGTACAGTTTGTGATTGATATGTTGAACGATTCTCCGCATCGTTTAACCTTAAACAATTGAGTCATACCGCCCTACAACATCTAAGTGATGTAACTTGTTGTTAATTTACATAACGCCCTGCAACATCAGAGTAATGTCACTTGTTGCAATGTTTCATAACGCCATACATCTAAGTGATGTCACTTGTTGTAAAAGTACATATGGCGTGTAGGTGATGTCACTTGTTGTAATGGTTAATAACGCCTTACAATGTCAGTGAGTGAGTGAGTGAGTTAAAATTTATAGTCACATCGGCAATATTTCAGCCAAATTGTGACTTAAAAGTTATAAATTAACAATAAACACAATAACAGTATAAAAACACCTGTCTGCAGAGGACAGTAAAACAACTAGATTATCACAGGAATAAATTTAAGACTAATAATTAAATCTAAAATATTTGACCTATAAATGACAATACAATATAAAACAGGCTAGAAGGTAGATCACCACACTAGGGACCATGGGGACTTACAGTACATTTGCTTCCTGCATGGGCCCTAGCTGGATTTTACATCATCTCTACAGCCGTCAGCAATTTAGATATATCTAGCCATACATTAAAATTACACATATTCTACGATTAAAAAAGGAAAGTTTAAATTTACCTAGAATGTTTTTGGACTTTACGTACCCTCCTCAGGGGAACAATAATTTGACAGTACTTTAACCCCCTCGAGGATACAGCCACTAACATTCTTAGTTACTAATTCAATCTTCCAATCATAAAATATTTATCTATTTACAAATCCTTTAACAAATCTAATTCTTTTAAAAATGCAATAATTAAAATCAGAAATGATACTATTAAAAGATCCTTCATAGTTTGTGATTTAAAATAGGTATCCCTTGTGATGGAATATTCAACACAGTCAAGCAAGACATGCTTGACCTTGATTCTTTCATCACAAGGGATGCAAACGGCTTACAACGTCAGAGTGATGTCACTTGTTGTAATGGTTCATAATGCCCTACAACATCAGTGATGTCACTTGTTGTAATGGTTCATAATTCCCTACAGCATCAGTGATGTCACTTGTTGTAATGGTCTCATAATGCCCTACAGCATCAGAGTGATGCCACTTGTTGTAATGGTTCATAATGCCCTACAACATCAGTGATGTCACTTGTTGTAATGGTTCATAATTCCCTACAGCATCAGTGATGTCACTTGTTGTAATGGTTCATAATGCCCTACAGCATCAGAGTAATGCCACTTGTTGTATTGGTTCATAATGCCCTACAGCATCAGTGATGTCACTTGTTATAATGGTTCATAATGCCCTACAACATCAGAGTGATGCCACATATTGTAATGGTTCATAATGCCCTACAGCATCAGAGTGATGCCATTTGTTGTAATGGTTCATAATGCCCTACAACATCAGAGTAATGCCACTTGTTGTATTGGTTCATAATGCCCTACAGCATCAGTGATGTCACTTGTTGTAATGGTTCATAATGCCCTACAACATCTAAGTGATGTCACTTGTTGTAATGGTTCATAATGCCCTACAACATCAGAGTGATGCAACATATTGTAATGGTTCATAATGCCCTACAGCATCAGTGATGTCACTTCTTGTAATGGTTCATAATGCCCTACAACATCTAAGTGATGTCACTTGTTGTAAATGTTCATAATGCCCTACTACATCAGAGTGATGCCACATATTGTAATGGTTCATAATGCCCTACAGCATCAGTGATGTCACTTGTTGTAATGGTTCATAATGCCCTACAACATCTAAGTGATGTCACTTGTTGTAATGGCGCGGTTGCTTGCAGCCACTGCCATTGGGTCCAAAACAATATCTTCCAGATTACCCAATGGCAGTTCAATTTTCACAGCAGAAGCAAACGCAATACTAACAGCTCTTAAATATATAAATAGACACCCTAAATATAAACAAATATATAATATTTTCTGACTCACTTTCTTGCCTTCAGGCGATAAAAATATTTCTTGTAAACATCCACTTTTAATAGAAATTATAGAATTATATAATGATCTTGCAACTGGCCAATACGACATCGTCCTCTGTTGGTTACCCAGCCACGTTGGCATTTTTCTGGGAACTCAATGGCCGATTTTGCTGCAGTAAAAGGCACTCAACAAATCTGTGACACCACTTCTTATTCCATACTCTTATTACAAAGCTAGCATTAGAACTTACATCCACGATCTGATGCAGAAGAAGTGGGACACCCAAGTAGGTATTAATAAATTACATGAAAGAAAACCCTATATTGGCTACACTTTACTTGGGTTGTCAGTCCAGATTTGAAGAGGTCATCATACGACGATGTCGTATTGGCCACACAAGATATACGCATGAGTGCCTATTAAAAGGTGAGGATCTCCAATTATCTATTTCAAATCCCGAACTATGAAGGATCTTTTTACTAAAATTAGTCCTCATTTTGTTAGTGGCTGTATCCTCGAGGCGGGTTAAAGTACTGTAAAATTATTGTCCTCCTGAGAGGGTACGTAAGTCCCAAAACATTCTAGGTAAATTTAAACTTTCCCGTTTTTAATCGTAGAATATGTGTGAAATTTTAATGTATGGCTAGATATATTTCAATTGCTAACAGCTGAGGGATGATGTAAATCCAGCTAGGCCCATGCAGGAAGCAAATGTACTGTAAGTCCCCATGGTCCCTAGTGTGGTGATCTACCTTCTAGCCTGTTTTTATATTGTATTGTCATTGATAGTTCCATTATTTTAGATTTAATTACTAGTTTTAAATGTATATCTGTGATACACTAGTAGCTTTTTACTGTTCTTCGTCAACAGGTTTTTAATGTCCTACTTTATTGATCTATGATATAATTATAAACTGTTCCTCGTCACGATATGGCTGAAACATTGCCGTTGTGACGATAACATTAACTCACTCACTCACTTGTTGTAATGGTTCATAATGCCCTACAACATCAGAGTGATGTCACTTGTTGTAATGGTTCATAATGCCCTACAACATCAGAGTGATGTCACTTGTTGTAATGGTTCATAATGCCCTACAACATCAGTGATGTCACTTGTTGTAATGGTTCATAATGCCTTGCAACATCTAAGTGATATCACTTGTTGTATTGGTTCATAATGCACTGTAATGTCACTTGTTGTAATGGTTCATAATGCCCTACAGCATCAGAGTGGTGTCACTTGTCAAAATGGTCGATAACGCCCTCAGAGAGAATAATCAAGAAGGACACTGACGAAACAAGATACAACTCTAGTGAATTAAATATCAACCAACTTAGATATTCATAAAATACAATTTCAAACTAGAAAAGGATATTTTCGGCGAAAGTGATGACACTTGTTGAAATGGTTGATAACGCCCTAAAGCATGTAAGTGATGTCACTTGTTGAAATGGTTGATAACGCCCTAAATCATGTAAGTGATGTCACTTGTTGAAATGGTTGATAACGCCCTAAAGCATGTAAGTGATGTCACTTGTTGAAATGGTTTGATACCGCCCTAAATCATGTAAGTGATGTCACTTGTTGAAATGGTTGATAACGCCCTAAAGCATGTAAGTGATGTCACTTGTTGAAATGGTTGATAACGCCCTAAAGCATGTAAGTGATGTCACTTGTTGAAATGGTTGATAACGCCCTAAAGCATGTAAGTGATGTCACTTGTTGAAATGGTTGATAACGCCCTAAAGCATGTAAGTGATGTCATTTTGTTGAAATGGTTGATAACGCCCTAAAGCATGTAAGTGATGTCACTTGTTGAAATGGTTGATAACGCCCTAAAGCATGTAAGTGATGTCACTTGTTGAAATGGTTGATAACACCCTAAAGCATGTAAGTGATGTCACCTGTTCGAATGGTTGATAACGCCCTGTAAAATTATGTCACATTATCAACTTGTTGCAGCGGTCGATAGCATGCAGGGAAATGATTACTGACCTTTTGTACTCATAGTGCTTTCTTGCAGCAATGGGTAATGGTACTTTATTCTCTTAGTGCATTCTTGTACCAATGATTAATATCCTCCTTTAACACAAATAGTGCATGGGTGTTTCAAAGTCGATAACTGTTGTCACTATCAAAATAGCCACTTGTAGCACACTTGGTACATTCTTGTTGCAATCGTCGACAGCTTCTTGTAGCACACGTGGTACATTCTTGTTGCAATCATCGACAGCTTCTTGTACCACACGTGGTACATTCTTGTTGCAATCATCAACAACTGTCTGTTATTATAGTAGTGGTCGGAAACCAGACTTCATTTTAATGTGCAATTACTTCACAAAATGTGTTTTATTCCAGAATCCAGAACCTTATTCAAAAGCTCCACCGCAACCCACCCACTACCGCTGCCACCAAATAAAGTATATATAATCAGTCATGAATAAAATGTAACTTTTCCTCCATGCATCTTTTGTTGCCCAAAATGCAGTATTTAAGTACAATGTCTCCATAACAAACTACCGGGCAAAAGAAAGATATCCCCAACTTCATTTGACCCATAAATGGAAACAACGACGCATGTGAAAGTGCAAATAATTATTTTATAAACAAATAATTTTCCAATAATTGACCTGAAAATTCATTTGAAACGATTCAAGAGATGAAACTGAAAAATTACACAAATCAGAGTTCATTCATACCGTGCATAAAGAGTGACATAATGAGACAGGAGTAAGGGGACACGTCATCAATATCGAGTATGACCACCCTGGGCATCCATACACAACAACACGTCGTCAGTCGGTGAATGACGTCAGCAGTATTCCTGTTCCATAAGTCCAAGAGAGTCTGTTCAAGTTCCCGGCGGTTTGCTGGGGGTGGCACACACTGTCTCTGCTGACGATCAATTTGATCCCAGAGATGTTCAAAAGTGATCATGTCTGACGAACGCACTGGCTACAGCAATACATTAACGTTATGCAGGTGTTCTCGAACAATTCTGGCGATATGAGGTCTTGCGTTTTCATGTTGCAAAATGACTCCTCTTGGCTGCTGTCGAATAAAGGCATAGCAAAGAGCTCAACACTTCAACCTTGTATCGCTGGCCATTCAGATTTCCTCTCATGATAGCCAGTCTTGTTGTTCATTGGTCACAAATGCCGCTCATGATAGCCATGACGTCTTATCCTCCATCGAATGGATGAACTTATTGAAGGCAGTTTTGCGCCAGTCGCTCTCCTCTACTCTGCCATTGTTTCTGAACAGATTCGTAAGATAAATGGTATCTGACAGACAATCGTTTAGTAATCTCTATTTCCAACCCTCCAGGCAACAAGGAAACAGTATATCGCCCCCAGCATGCATCAGCCTGGCCAGTTCTTCCTGTTGACTACACACCAACATTACTCTAAGACGCCCATCTTAACAAATTCAAGCTATACGACGGTCGCCCGGAAACTTTGGATCATGCAATCCAGTGATTAATATATGACTTACAATTTACCCTGTCGGGTATGATGATATATCAGGAGTTTCACCACCGTGACCTCTGAGGCGTGTTTTTATACGTTATCAAATCGTGTCGAATGAAATACGGAGTTTTATAAAACCCGGTATTTCCCTCGACACGGTGTGATAACCCATTTATCTAGCCGAATGTTTTATCTAAATCAAAAGAAAACAATACGCATCGAATCGACTTGTTTTTATTTATGTGAGATGCCGTGTTGACAACAGCTGATCGATTAACCTCAATGCAGCTCACGTTACTAAAGGCTTGACTCCCTGCGGGCGGGTGATAAAATCAATAAACATGTAAACCATATTATTGTTTTCATTTACTGTGTAATTTATTCTATGATATTTCAAAATTTCAATCACTTGTTAATTTATTCAATTAAAATTTAAATTTGCATGATAAAAGCACAGTAGCTTTGCTTCAGAAACAATGTCTTAGTACATGTAAATGAAGAAAGCTCCGTTGACCTGGGAGTGTTGAGAGTGCAAACGGAATTTTTTGTATCACATCAGGACATAAATTGCCGGGGAATCTTCATAACATTTCATGTCGGAAATTCAGGTTTGTCCTGGAAAGGGACGAGTTGTTCACCAACTTACTGGAAGCAGTGGCTTGTTTGACAGTTTGAACATGAATGCCTATCAAGATCGTGCTTTGTACTGCATGTGAGACATATACACCCAAAACAGCCTGTACTGTAGCTTATCAGTCAGAACAGACTCCATTTTTTAAAAGCTAAACAAACAGAGTTAGTTAGACAACCAACAGTCAACAGTCAATGTATCAACAGTCAACTTCGAATTCAGCTCACTGGCAGGCACAAATAGTGGCGACAGAGGGCAAAACTATATTCGATAAATCAATCCAAACAGCTAGAATCTTGAAATGTTGCTAACTTGAACTGTGCACTACCACAATGGGAGCGATGGGGTAGCCTAGTGGTTAAAGCGTTCGCTCGTCACGCGGAAGAAGCTGGTTCGATTCCCAACATGGGTACAATGTGTAAAGTCCATTTCTGGTGATATTGTTAGAATATTACTAAAAGATCCATAAAGCTAAACTCACTACCACGATGTGTCTTGGTCTCAGTCTAGAGTTCGATTTTCTAATAGCAACTACATGAAAAGAACAATAACTTGAACTGCACATTAATAAATATTGTAAAATATTAATGATCACAGATTCATACTTAGGTTTCTCCACTATTAATTGTTGTACACTCGTCATACTTCATGTAAGTGTTGTACTACGTTTACACTTTGTTCACCCGGATAGCACTGACGACATGTCCATGTGTCAATGCAGGATCGACGCCAGCCAAAGGTGAGGACTAAAACGAAATGTGCCTTGTCAGGACCATGGCGTACGTGTCATCAGTCGAGTTCAAAAAGGTCGTTGACAGTCACGGAATAGCAGAGTACGGTATCCCAATCTTTATGGTATGCTGGGATAGACTGGGAGAAAACGTGTGTCTCAATGACCTTGATGACGTCACTGTAGTTAGGAACCTGACGTCATGATGGTTTTTCGCGGGACATATGGCTGCTCCCAGTCTATCCCAAGTTAACATGGAGATCATGATGTTATCTGTGTGACTCCTTCAAATCTCAGGTCACAGCTTATTACAATATTTCACCCACACTGCAGGGCAAACAATTTGCTATTTTTGAGGAGGGGCCGGGGCAACAGAGAGACGGTTATATGTTTTCCGTCAGCACTTATAAATATACAATGTAATTCTGTGAAAGATTAGCCAAATATATTCAGGACATGTTCAAGAACAAATAACATGTTGGTTACATAGCACATGTTAGGGTCATGCAACATGTTGTGGCAATACGGTATATGTCATATTAGGGACATATGACATGTTGGGCATATTTGGCATTTTAGAAACATATGGCATATAAGGGGCATAGCACATGTTTGGGACATATGACATATTGAGGACCGCCTCCGTGGTGTAGTGGTTAGAGCGTCCGCCCGGAGAGCGGAAGGTCGCGGGTTCGATCCCCGACCGCGTCATACCTAAAGACGTTAAAATATGGTACTTGTTGGTCCCTGCATGGCGCTCGGCATTAATGGGTACAACAAGGACTGGTCGGCTCGGAGTCAGTATACTGTGTCTGAGTGGGGTATTCATGCTTCACTGCGGCATGGTATCTCAGTGAGCTAGCACTATAAAACCAGCTTAAGTCTGGACTAGTACAAGCAGCCGCACATACACATACACACGCATACACGTCGTCATATGAGCGAAATATTCTCAAGCACGACGTTAAACCAAATTTCACCTCAATTCACATATTGAGCATGTATGTATTTTAGGGATGTATGATATGTTGGGCATGTGTGACGTGTTAGGGGAACATATTGTATGTTGGGCATGTATGGTATTTTAGGGACATATAACATAGTAGGAGCATGTGACAATTTGGGGTCATATGGTTTGTTGTGCACGATATATGGTATGTTTGGGACATATGACATGTCAGCGGCTTATTACGTGTTAGGGACATGTTGCATGTTGGACATGTATAGCATGTAATAATTTACCCTTCATCATTGCTGTGAAGATGGCAAACAGCAAACACAGGTATATGATTATAGAATAGAGCAACAAAGCTACCAAGCTAAAGTGAGTGTGTGAGTGAGTTTAGTTTTACGCCGCACTCAGCAATATTCCAGCTCTATGGTGGCGGTCTGTAAATAATCGAGTCTGGACCAGACAATGCACTGATCAACAGCATGAGCATCGATCTGCGCAATTGGGAACCGACGACATGTGTCAACCAAGTCAGCGAGCCTTACCACCCGATCCCGTTTGATTTAAAAAAATATTTTATTCACAAATGTTAAAGGGATTGGGGACATGTTATCCAACTTAAATTTCCCGCTTCCTAATAGTTACATACATACAATGTCAATTATATACATCTTAGGAAAGAATACAGAGAAGAGATAGGAAAGTTAAAGACAGAAGAGAGGAAGGGACACGACTTATGTGATCACTCAAAACGTTTTGATTGATGAATGAAAGTTTGCACACATTTGAAAATGTATTCATTCTGTTGAATAGTCAGGTCAGGACTTCAAAGTAACATTAGTGACAATGTGATTGGAGAGTCACGTTTTTACAATATTTTAATCTTTAACATTAATATATCTCTTTGAATGTTGTACAGTTTACATTCTAATAGAAAGTGATGTACATTTTCACAAGCATTGCCACAGTAACAAGAAGCAGAATGTTTCATGTTGAAACGATACAGACTAAACATATATCTCAACTTTGTGTGAATAATATTAAATTTTCTAATACCAAACGAGTAATATGATGGAGCTACAGGCTGCTCACACTTTAAATACGACTTGAAACTCTGTAATGAAGGTTGATTTCTTTCGGTTTCAGAAATATAATTCAATATTCTTATAATTGATGGCAAAAAAAAATCATACGAAAGTCTTAACCTTGCAGAAGGAAGGATAATATTGTTAGCATTCCTAAGGTTACATTTAGATCTGGATCCCACACTAACTGGAGTAATATCTTTTAAGTATACAGGAGCTAAATTATTTTGAATTTTATAAAATAGACAAAGTTTTCTTCTTTTCCTTCGTTAATCCAGTCTTTCCCACCCTGTCTCATAATATAGAATTCCCGTGAGGTATATCTAGGAAGACCCGTAACTATTCTGGCAGCTTCTAACTGAAGTTTCTCTAAGTTTTCCTTCTGTTGTACGGTACAACCATCCCATAATTCACAAGCATATTCAAAGTGTGGTCTGATAAATAACTTATAAATATTGTTCATTGTATTTCTGTTTAGTAAATATTTCAATTTTCGCATTGATGATATCATGTTTGAGCACGACTTGATAATTTGATTAGTGTGACAAGACCATTTGCCGTTTGCTTCAAATGTTATTCCGAGATGTTTATG